CTCCTAAGCCGGACCTGAGCCGTTACACGGGGCTACGAACACACCTCAGCCTGGCTACTAATGAGGGTAAGAGCAGTGGCAGGAGCGAGAAGATTACTGTGTGCTGTGGAGAAGACAGGCAGGCCAGGCCTGGGAGGTGATAACTCGCATCGTGGCTGAGAAAACCCAGCAGGTGGGCGTTGAGCCACTTTGGACAGCTAGGAGAGGAGAAAGGCAATTCCATGTAGCTAGTGGCAGTGAACTGGACTTTTGTGGGGCGGGGACGGTCAGCATCCAGACAGACCAGAGAACATCCTAGACATGTCTGTGCATGCTCTCACTCTGCGTTCTGGGCCGGTATGCGTCTCTCATCTTGACTGCAGCTAAATCATGTTCCTGGGACTTTTCTGTTGCTGGTATATCCATTCCTACCTTGTTCTCCCTCTGTAATTTAAGGAACTCTGGCCAAGAGAACGGCTTGTAAAGTGGTGTCTCCCTGGGCCTTTCTTCCTGCAGATAGCAGCCTCCTGGGCAAGGACAGCCCTCCCACACCTACCATGTACAAGTACCGGCCGGGTTACAGTAGCAGCAGTACGTCAGCCGCCATGCCTCATTCCTCCAGCGCCAAGGTACTGAGTACTCTGGAAGGAGGAGGGTTGTGATGTATGTCAGCTGTTCTGGGAAAAAGAATAGTGGGGGAGGGAAGGAAGAGAGGCAGAGGGAAGGGAAAAAACCAGACATTTTACTGATTGTTGACATTAATGGGATTTAATCTCCTTGACAGTGTGTCCTTCATCAGAGAGGGGGCAATGTAGCATACTAGGTAAAAGCACTGATTGCAGCATCGTAGCTGAGTTCAAAACCCATCATGGGCAAGTTACTTAACCTCTTTAAGCCTCATCTTTTGCATCTTAAAATGAGATATTATTTGTTTCCAACTCGCTGGTTTGCTTTAGGTGTGGAACAAGAGAATGTGTGTAAAAAGTTCTAAGCATACTGGTGGGACATGACTGCTTGGGCTCTGGGGCCTAGCATCTGTCCCAGGAGGAGGAGCACTAAGAGCATGCTGTCGTTTCTCCCTCAGTTGAGTCGTGGGGACAGCTTGAAGGAGCCGACCTCAATTGCAGAGAGCAGCCGCCATCCCAGCTACCGCTCAGAGCCCAGCTTGGAGCCAGAGAGCTTCCGCTCTCCCACCTTTGGCAAAAGCTTTCACTTCGAGCCACTATCCAGTGGCTCACGCTCCTCCAGCCTCAAGTCAGCCCAGGGCACTGGCTTTGAGCTGGGCCAGTTGCAGTCCATTCGTTCAGAGGGCACAACCTCCACCTCCTATAAGAGCCTGGCCAACCAGACACGCAATGGAAGCCTATCTTACGACAGCTTGCTCACTCCTTCGGACAGCCCTGATTTCGAGTCCGTGCAGGCAGGGCCTGAGCCCGACCCACCTTTAGGCTACACCTCTCCCTTCCTGTCAGCCCGGCTGGCCCAGCAGCGGGAAGCCGAGAGGCACCCACGTTTGGTGCCAACCGGCCCAACACACCGAGAGCCCTCCCCAGTCCGGTACGACAATCTGTCGCGCCATATTGTGGCCTCCCTCCAGGAACGAGAGAAGCTGCTACGCCAGTCACCCCCACTCCCAGGCCGCGAGGAAGAACCAGGCTTGGGGGACTCAGGCATTCAGTCAACGCCGGGCTCAGGCCATGCCCCTCGCACTAGTTCCTCCTCAGATGATTCAAAGAGATCACCCTTGGTCAAGACTCCACTGGGACGCCCAGCCGCCGCCCGTTTTGGCAAGCCAGATGGGCTAAGGGGCCGGGGACTAGGGTCCCCTGAACCAGGCCCAGCCGCCCCATACCTGGGCCGATCTGTGTCTTACAGCAGCCAAAAAGCCGGTGTCACCCCAGCTGGTGTCTCTGAGGCAGAGGAAGTAGCCTTGCAGCCATTATTGACACCCAAGTAAGTATAAGTCCATCCTGACCATCCGTGGACTTAAAATTAGCATAGGGTCCTACAGAAGGTATCATGACTTCACTTGTGTGCAAGTGGACTCAGAGGGGCCTGCTTGTAGATCGCTCGTTTCACTCACTCACTCTAGCTGCTGATTAATACTTTTTTCTTAATCCTGTCTTCCCAAGACGTATGTATTTGCCTGAGAGTAAGAAAGATAGCTGCTGTTGGAGAGAAGGAATAGAGAGGAGATAGGGCACCAGGTTTGTTTTAAGCAGGGCAATAAAACAGGTGGGAATGTTTGGGTAAGAAAGTATGTATATAGAAAAGTATGTCAGTTTGTTCTCGTAACTTATAAAACGGTCTCCCTTTTCTGTGTTTTGTGTCCCACTTCCTGACACCTACCTCTCTTTCTCTTCCTAGAGATGAAGTACAGCTCAAGACCGCCTACAGCAAATCCAATGGGCAGCCCAAGAGTATAGGCTCTGCCTCCCCTGGCCCAGGCCAGCCGCCTCTCAGCAGCCCCACAAGGGGCGGAGTCAAGAAGGTGTCAGGGGTGGGTGGTACCACCTATGAGATATCCGTGTGAGCCTTCGGCACCTCCCTTCCCCCCACGCCTCTGCGCCTACACCAAAGGGCCCCAGGTGGCCACCTTCCTTTCCTCAAGGGGTTCCCCTCCCCTGCATGGACATTTTTTTAAACCACCGATTCCAAGAGGATGAGGAGCGTTTTATAAAATGCAATGGGGATGGGGAGTCGGAGAGTTGGGGCCCTGAGACTGGGGTAGCAAACCCCTTCACCTTTTAAGACCTTCCCTTCTTTAACCCCTGGACCAGACTCAGTGGACATTTGTGCAATTGCTCGCCCTGGAGGGAACCAGATCATTTTTAAACCAGAAATAATTTTTTTTATTATTGTTACGGATTCTATTTTTTTCCTCTCTGCGTTACCAGGTGTGTGTGTACATATATATATATCTATATCTATATATATATATTATAAATATCAAAGAAATTATATATCTATCCTGGGATGGGAAAATGAGGGACGGATATGTAGGAGGAGGGGTATCTTACTCTTCCCGTTCCTCAGACCAGCAGGAAAGAAGCGGGGACATCCATCGAAGTCTTCCTTTTCCCAGTGGTTCCCTCTCTTTTGTCCCAGTTACCAACTAAGGAAACCGCACCCCCCTGCTGTTGGTGCGTAGTGATCAGGAAAGAAACCTCGGGAGAGGCGAGTCTGGGGTCTTGGTCAGAGGAAGGAAGGATTTGAGAGGAGAGTTAGTTTTCTAGGTTCATTGGCACTTCGTTTCCCCAGGAAAGGGGTCACAGCCCCATGACTTTGGTGGTGGTGGGGAGATCAGGAAAAGAGCTTGACTGAGCTCCAGAAACAATATTGGATAATGCCCCCCACTTCTTGGGGGAGAGGGATTAGGGTGGGCTTCTTTAGTCCCCTCAGAGCCTTCCCCCAACTCACACGGTTAATGTTATTTTTAAATCCAAGGCCGGGAGAGATGAATCCAAAAAGCAATATTTTTCATCACATGCCAAAAATGGGATAGAGAGAAGGAGTGGCAGGCCTAGGCCCCTCCGATTGTCCCTTGGGGGTTACCCCTCAGCCCACCTCAGGATGGTGCTGGGTAGTGGGGGTACCTGGGTTCTAACCTCTAAAAAGGGGAGACCCCAGCCTCTAGACAGAGGCCCTCTTATTTTTTATGATGATTAGCCATTTTAAACCAACAAGGAATAAAAAGAAATCCTGATCTAACCAGCTCCCCCTGACTTGTGTTATTTTGTCTGGTTAAGGCAAGGTGAATGATCTCTGGTGGGAAGTCCCAAAGAAAACCTCATAAGCTTCTCTGGTCCTGGCCCACCCTTAGGCAGCACTGTAGTGGGAATAACCACTTAAAACAACAGGTCCTGTTTTTATTTTGGTGATTTAATTCAAAAATTCCTAGAAGAGACCCTCTGTGACCACCTAAGCTCCTTGTTGTTTTAAGGCTTAGAGAACTCTCGACTGCCACAGTTCTTTAATACAGAATTTTCTCTCTGGAAAGTAAAAATCTTTGGATGTAGCCAGAGGTGAGACAGTGGATGATTGAGGGATGAAAGCCTGTTAGAGGCTGATTGCCTGGATATGGCTGGCACTTCAGTATGATAGCTCACGGTGTCTCTTCTGTTTGTCCAAAGTGAAAAGGCTATGCCCTAATTTTAAATAGGCTGCCTCAGACATTAAATCTCCAGAAACTGGCCAGAACCCATTATTTTCACTGTCCATGACTTAAGTGTATACAGTCTTGCTCTGAAATCCTAGATTAAAACTGTAGCTCAATGAATGGTTTTCCACCTACTAATCTAGTAACAACCTTGGCTCATAGCAACAGATTTTAACTGTTCTGTGTCAAATTTATTTAAAGTCAGATTACAATAGCTTGGGTTTTCTCATGGACATTTCCAGTTACCTGGCCTGCTATAAAGACTGAAGGAATTTCTTTCACATTCTGCTAGTTTAGGCTGCCTTTCTGTGGCTATCTTAGAAGCTTAGAAATGTTTTCGCATCAGCCTAATAGTTTCATTCTCTTTAAGGAATGAGGCAGGGCAAAGATTCCTATAAAGACAAGAGAAGCATTTACTTTTGCTTGTCAGAGATTTAAAAAAAAAAAAAAAAATCACAGGCTTCACCAGGAATCGACCTTGTTGAAATACACTGGTGATTGTGGGTGCTTTTTCAGTTGGCTGTTCTGTTTTAACACAAAACTGACCTAGAAGACAGATGAGCCTTAACTGGATCAGCTCCTCCTGTGGAGCCTCATCCAGGTGCTTGGTCCTCAACGTGATGGGCAGAGTGTTAAATGTCTGCTGTGGACACGTATTAGCAAGCTCTGCCTCACTTGTGCACCATGTTCCCCAATCTCATTTTGGTGGTCTCCCTGCCTACTAATAATGTAATGGTAAGACCCAAATTCTCAGATCTTTGAATGCCCTGGCTTAAACCCTGACTCTCACAGGGAAAGGCACTTACCTCTTTAACAGGCAGCCACAGTTCAGCCAGTTTGATAAATGCAAATTTTTTTTTTTTTTTTTTTAAAGAAAAACCCTAACAGATCAGACAATGTCCTAAATCAGACCAACTGCACAAAAGAGATGAAAAGAAACCTTCCTGGGAGAGGAAGAGATGTCCGTGAGAAAGCCAACTGGGCTGAGCCTTACAAAAGCATGGCCCTTCTCTCCTCTGATGCACTGATCTTAGCCCAGCGCAGTCAGAGCGGGCTCCTGGCCCAGTTGCAGGGGACGCCCCCACGGCAGTGTCCGAGCTGGAAGGCGGCTTTAGTCAGCAGGCTCCTTACAGCAGGGAAAGCCATCCCGGCAGAGCCCGGTTAGCGGAGGCTGCTGCTGCTGCTGGCCTGAGAGCTGCCCACGCCTGGGTGGTCTGGACTGTGTCGGTTCTGGGGAAGACAAGGAAGAAGGGGTAAGAGAACGACTAGGACGTGGCCGTGGCAGCCGTGGCCGTGGTCAGGGCTGTACAGGAAAAAACTGCAACATGCCCTGGATTTTCAGTCGTGGGTCCCACCTGAGGCAAGGGACCATCGAGACGGGGATACGGGGAGACTCAGTGGGCTGCAGGAGCAGGTCCCTACCCTACCTTCTTTTTCTTCTTCTCTTTCTTCTTCCTTTTCCGTTCAGGATCCTCCTCTTTTTTCTTTTTCTTCTTCTTGTGATCAGAATCAGATGGTGTTTCTGTAGGAGACAGTATGTGCTCTCAAAATTCCCTACTGTAGAGCTGAAAGGTCCCTACTGCTAGGACCTCTGTGAAGACCACAGGAAAACCTAGTCAAGGGCAATTGCTCTTCTAAAGGCCAGAGAGGCTAGGGAGGCACTGCTAAAGCACCATTCCAGCTTTCTACTTGCCCAGGAGACCTACTTGCAGGAAATACTACCTTTATACCAGTTTCAAGAGAACTGGGAGTCTGGGGCTCTGTAAGGAACCTGAGTTTTTAACTGGGGACGGTCTAACCAGATCCAGGTTTTCTGGCTTTGAACCGAACTGTTTCTTACCTGGGGGGACAGGATCCTGGGTACGGCTCTGTTTGTGCTTGTGCTTATTCTTCTTCTTGGGAGGCTGAATATGCATCAGACGACACTGCTCTGGTAACTGAAGGAACCAAAGGAAAGTCCAGGTGAGTGGGGGAGGGAGGAAATGCCCTGCTCCCATCGTCTGTTCTGCTCAGTAAGTTATGAAGGAACAGACTTGGACAGAAAAACCACCTCCATGCCTTTCAGGCCTCCCCGTTTGCCTTCTTCCTCCCCAAGAGGGGACTCACCGGGCCAGTGTGGAGGCGGAAGCCAGCCAGCATAGTCCCTGTGATAGGATTAAAAGAGCCACCAAGAATAGGGGGTTTCTCAATGAGAGAGCGGAGGCTGCTGTTATCATGGGAACCAGGCAGATCAATCATCCCTGGCAGGTCAGGCAGGAAGTTACTTAGCTTCTCCTTCACCTTCTTCCCACAGAATTTATTATAGGAATGTTCTAGGTTGTAGTGTGTGATCAGATTGGTGCTGCCTGTCAGCTCGGTGCTACCTAGAGGACACAGAAGAACAAAAAAATATTAGTCCCAAAAGTAGAGAATTTTAAGTCACCCAAAGGGAAAGTGAAGGACTATGTTTTAGCCTAAATAGGGAATCTTTTAAGTGAGAATTAGAAAGATTTGAACTTATTTTTTTAAGTAAGAAACAGCAAAACTAAATAACAACATATAATAAACACTAAAAATATATACCATAGAATGGTAAGATGGAACGAGGAGAAAAATCCACAAACGTCCAATGAGGGCACAGATGGAAACTACCCCAAAGCAAGAGACACTCTCCCCAACTTGGACTCACCACACTTACATGATGCTTACTCCGTGCTAAACACTGTTCTGAGTGCTTCTCATATAATATACTAGTGAGAAATTATACTCTCTGACACAGCAGGATATTACCTCAGAGCTCAGCCACCAGCAAAGTAAGAGCCAAATATGACCCAATGGCTTCAGTGTCTGTCTGGTCAAGGACTTTTTTTTTCCGTTTTTTTTTTTTTTTACTAGCAAGAAACATTAATTACCTTTACATAGGAAACAGGATTTTTTAGTTACTGCTGACTTGTTACCACCATCTCCATTACCCCTAATGTCAAGTATAATACTCTGCCTCAAAGAAAGAAATGTTCCCTTAGCATCTGGACAACTAGAAGTCTAATCCTAGCAGTGCTCTATGCCTCAGTTTCCTCTCTTATCTCTGCAGTGGGGTAACAGCTATCTTAAGCACACTTAATTTTTTTTTTCAAGGTGCAAATGAAAACAGAAGTATAAAGTATTCTATAGATGCAAGGCACTATCGGTATAAATATCACATGGCTGACTTTTTTCAAAAAATGGAAGCTTGTTAGTAATCTAGTAAGGATCTAGTGACAAAGGGTGGAGCTAGCTAGCCTACAATTTCATCTACAGTTATGATGAACACGAAGAATGCAAATGATGATGAAAGTGGTTTGTTCAGAACCATTCACTTGGAAAAACCCAGGTTCTGATCTGAGGCCCCTGGGGGCCGAGACAGTGTCATTCTTGTTCGTACATGTTATCACCGGTGCCAAACACAGTACACATCTTTGGTGCTCAGTAACTTTAAGTGAGCAAGGTATTTTCCCTCCATACCCCAAGGCCTTACCCTATCCTTCCCTTTTTCCCTTCTCGTGCCAAACGTTTCAGAAACATGGTCTACTGTAACGGCAGAACATGCAGCGCCAGAGTACTGCTCCTCATAACTAGGCGCTGCCTCCTGCCATGCTAGCATCCTTCTGTTTCCCACCTCTGTCAGCTCTCCTCTTCCAGGGGCGTCATCCTCAAGGCCCGGGTGAGAAGGCACTCCTGCCTTTCCTAAACACTTTATGAGTCCATCCAACTTCCTGTTTTGACTATCAGTTCCATGAAGATGATTTATAAACCTCTCTCCCCAGCCTCCTAAAAACTAATCTTACACTTCCAACTTCCTCTTAGTCAATTCCATGAAGATTCATTTTTTTTAAACTCCCAAATCTTCCCCACCTCACTCAGGGCTTCTCTATTTCAATACATGGCACCCATATTCTCCGGATATTTTTAGAAGCAATACTCCTCGGTCCATAAATCTCAATGGTTTCCTATTATCCTCAGGAAAAAGCTCAAATTCCTTTGGCACGGTAAAACACATCTTACTGTAACTTAGTTTTGGGGCCTGATCAACCACTACTCACCTATGCTACGTTTCTAATCCATCCAAATGAGTCTCCATTATCTCCTAAGAAACCCACTTCTCATCTCATTTCCTTTTAGAAAGTTTGTTTTAGGAAAACTGATGTAATTATAAGATAATTCTTCCAAATTTTCTTCACCAATATGAAATTTTCAATGTCTGGCTCAAGTAACAACTCTGTCATTTTTTTTTTTTTTAAGATTTTATTTATTGGGGCTCCTGGGTGGCTCTGTCGTTGAGCGTCTCCCTTCAGCTTGGGTCATGGTCCTGGGGTCCTGGGATCGAGCCCCGCCATTGGGCTCCCTGCTCAGCGGGAAGCCTGCTTCTCCCTCTCCCACTCCCCCTGCTTGTGTTCCTGCTCTTGCTGTCTCTGTCAGGTAAATAAATAAAATCTTAAAAAAAAAAAAGCAAGGACTAGACATATTCTCTCCCCTTCTCACCACATGCTGCCCTTCCTACATAAACCAGCATTTGCCCAAAACAGATACTCAGTATCTGTCGACTGCTTGATAAAAATAGGTACAATCAGAATAGATAAAGTTAGAGAAACTGCTGGTAGACATCAACCACTAACTGACCAAAGGAAAGTCAACCTTTCTATGCTTCAGTTTTATTCAACTATAACATGCCTACCTCAAGGGGCTATTCTCAGTATCAAATTCTATTACATATATAACTGCACTGTGACCTTCAAAGCACTGTACCAATATGCATTATTATTTCCCTCAATTCCTGATGTAGCAGTAGGACTTGGGAGGAATTGAAAGACCATCTGGAGGGCGCCTGGGTGGCTCAGATGGTTAAGCGTCTGCCTTCGGCTCAGGTCATGATCCGAGTCCTGGGATCGAGTCCCGCATCGGGCTCCCTGCTCCTTGGGAGCCTGCTTCTCCCTCTGCTTCTCTCTCTCTCTCTCTCCCCCCCCCCTCTCTCTGTCTCTCATGAATAAATAAATAAAAAATCTTTAAAAAAAAAAAAAAAAGAAAGGCCATCTGGAGAATTAACATGTCCAAAATGACTTTTGATTTCCATCTCCTCAAACTTGTTCCTTCTTGGTCTCAGCACTACCATCCACCCAACTATTCAATCCAAGAATTTACAAGCATTTTCAGTTCCTCTCTACTTCTAGATTCAATCCTTCGTTCCCATAAGCTCTATCCCTAACATTTATCCTGCATCAGCTCACTTCTCCCCTCCACCACTACTGCCTAGTCCAAACCATCATCTCTTTCCTGGACTACTAAGCAGTAACTTCTGACTGAATTCCTCACTTTCCATTCTTAATGTAGCTGTTTAGATAATTAAAAATAAGTAAATCAGATCATGTCACTTTCCTGTGTTAAAACGGCTCCCCCTGAGGGGTGCCTGGCTGGCTCAGTCAGTAGAGAATGCGACTCTTGATCTCAGGTGGTGCGTTTGAGCCTCACTTTCGGTACAGAGATTACTAAAAACAAATAAATAAAATGGTTCCCCCTGAACTTAAAATCTAAATACTTTACAAAGGCCTCTACCTATTCCTCCCCCCTTCATCTCCTATCACTCTTTCCCTTGAAACTTCACTGGAGTCCAACTGGTCTTCTGACCCTCAGATATTCCAAAGCTTTTCCCTCACACCACGGCTTCTGACCTCATTTCTTGCATCTTATCTCTCCCATTCACACATGACTGGCTCTTTACATTTACGCTCAAATATTATCTACTCAGAGATGGCTTCTTTGATCACTCTAGCTAAAGCAGTTCTGCCTCAATTCTTTATCACATTTTCTCCTTGTAGCACTAACCGCTATCTGATGTTATCTAGTGTACTACTCTGTGCCGCCTCTTCTGAAATGTAATCTCCAAAACAGGCAAAGATCTTGTCAGTCCTACTCACAGCTGTATCTTAAGCATTTAGAACAGTGCTTGGTACATAGTAGGTGCTCAACAAAACAAATTTTTGGTTAGATTCTAATCCCTCCTTCCGACTGTTGAAGACAGGCAGAGGCCCTCAGAAGGAGGGCAACATGCCTCTAACCAACAGCATGTTTGTGACAGATTTGGAAAACCTTAGGTCTGCAGGGATGTTAAATCAGGCCTCTCGAGTTCCAAACTCAAACTCTAGATAATTTCTAGGGAACCATAAACCAGTGTCAGGGACAGAGCCAAATATGGTGTGAAACATGGTCACGGAAATGCATTCTTCCCCCTTCCCAATCCAGGTCAAAAATTCATGTCATCCCTTTGGTCGTGAATCCTCAGACCCCTTCCAACTTTGAGTTCCAAGGTCCCGACACGCGTTGCCTAGGCTACCTCACACCTACCCGGGCGGGCTGAGCCACGCCCATCACCTCCTCGCTATGATCTGATTGGCTACCTTCGGCCAGGCCTAATACTCACCTGGAAGTTCCCGCATAAGATAGAAGGGACCACAACCAGCCGCCGACTTGTCGGCGCCGGGAGGGGCCGTGGCTGTACTGGGCGGCGGGGCCGTGCCGGGGCCCCCGCCCGGAGGAGGGGGAGGCGGAGGTGGAGGCTTTCCTGGTCCGAAGCCGAGTGCGGTTGGGGGTGGTGGCGGGTCAGCCTGAGCTCCGAACAGTGCCGAGAAATTCTCCATCGTCTTCTCCGCCCCGGCGCGGTCCCGGGGTCTGGCGTCGGTCGTTTTCATTGGACAATCCCTTCACGATGTCCCGCCCTCTTCCTCTAGGAGCCGCTTATCATTGGGTACCCCGCCTACCTTTTTCTGGTAACTACTTCCGTCGCTTTCGGAGAACGTTCAGGAAGTGCTATCTAAACTTATTAAATTCTTTTCCGTAGTCTACGAGGGCCACGGTCGCATATCCAATAAAATGACTTAACTAGAGAAAGCGACAGCTAGATCGACCAATAAAGTGTCAAATCCCCCTACCTTCCGCAGCGTCCAATCAGATATATACTTCCGGGCGCAGAGGCAGTGCATCCGAGACTAGACCCAAAGGAAGTCTCAATGGTGGGAGAGGCGGGACCAGACCTCCAGACGCCGAAGCTGGGCGGGCTCTGCAAAGGCCGGAAAGATGGCGGTCCTGGCACCTTTAATTGCTCTGGTGTATTCGGTGCCACGGCTTTCACGATGGCTGGCCCGACCTTACTATCTTTTGTCAGCCCTGCTTTCTGTTGCATTCCTACTCGTGAGGAAGCTACCCCCTCTCTGCAACAGTCTCCCCACGCAACGCGAAGACGGCAACCCGTGTGACTTTGACTGGGTGAGCGGACCCCGCGACCTTCACTGTCCCTGCTCCCCGAGGTTGCATGCGGGAGCCCCGAGGTTCCCCTTTTTGAGGATACCTGAGGTTCCGAGCCTGTAGCGGACTTACAGACTGTTCGAATGTTAGGGCCTGGACCATCATCGAGCCTAAACCTCTTCATGCTTAATTAAGATGGGAAAACAGCCGGTGAGCTTGCTTAGCAGCCTGGCTCTTCGGATTCTTGAGTCCAGGGTTCTTTCCATCTCACCATTCATGCTGGTCAACAGTTGTACCCAAACTCTACACATGTTCAGTATTTGACAAGGCTACCCGTTATATAAAGCCTCTTGAGGAGCCAGTGAGGTAAACAAGGAGGGTAGTAGTACTCCCGTTTTATTCATGGAGAAATTGATCTCGGCGTGGTTAGGCGAGTTGCCAAGTTGACTAATGAGTCAACCAGTGAGTGAATGCGACCTGAAACCACTCTTCTGGCCATAGTACCTGCACACTCCATCAGCCGTCTCTTAATTCAGTTAACATTTCCAGAGCATGCACTATCTGCTAGGCACTCTGCTGCATCCTGAGGGTGCAAAAATGAACACAAGTGTTAGACCCGTTGAAAAGAAATTGTAAAAAAAAATCTCTCTCGAGAGTCTTGCTGCACTTGAGTAAGAGCGGAGAAAAACGAGTTGAAGCTCTGTGCTCTCAGCGGTACAGCCGCAGCAGTGTTCTGAGGGAGGAGGGTCAACCCGAGGTTTTGTCTTTTTTCCCAGCCCCCAAAGTGAGTCTTGACCTTTACCAGAACCCACTCCCTTATTTTTATTCTCCATTCCTTGTTAATGCTTTCATACTTCCTCTGTCCTTTCCCAGACAGTATTACTGATAAGCTCAAGTGTAGTCATGCTACTTCCGAAGATCCTATTTTTATAGTGGTCCCCCCTTATCTGGGGCAGCGGGATATTCATTGCAAGACCCCCTGTGGTTGCCTGAAACCCTGGATAGTACCAAACCTTATATATATGATGTCTTGTCCTATACATACATACCTGTGATAAATTAATTTGCAATTTAGGTACAGTAAGAGATTAACAACAATAACTAATAATAAAATAGAACGGTTATAACAAAGTGACGTAATGAAAATTATGTCAATGTGATCTCTTTGTCTCCCTTAAAATATCCTATTGTACTGTACTCATCCTTCTGATGATGATGATATCAGATGATAAAGTGAGGTGACATGAAGTGAGGTGAATGACATAGACATTGTAACATAGCATTAGGCTACTGTTGACCTTCTGTTGATAAGTCAGGAGGATGATCTGTGTCCAGACTGTGGTTGACTGAAGGTAACTAAAACCACAGATAAGGGAGGACTACTGTATTCCATACTGATTTAACCAAAATGGGACTCAAAAATGTAAGTGGGTAGTAGTAAAGATTGCTTTTTTAAAGATTTTATTTATTTATTTGAGAGAGAGAGAATGAGAGATAGAGAGCACGAGAGGAAAGAAGGTCAGAGGGAGAAGCAGACTCCCTGCCGAGCAGGGAGCCCGATGTGGGACTCGATCCCGGGACTCCAGGATCATGACCTGAGCCGAAGGCAGTCGCTTAAGTAACTGAGCCACCCAGGCGCCCCAGTAGTAAAGATTTTAATAAGTATAGGGATCTTTTATATAATCTATTTCTCTGTATACTCTCATTTAATAATATGCAAAATATTGGAATTTTTTGTATTTTACTATTTCTCTGATGGAATTTTTTTTAAATTAATTACATAGAGTTCATAACCAGTGTTTGTTTTCCTGGAAAATCCATGTTTTACTGATTTACCTTGGTGACTGGGAAGTTAGGATATTAAGGTAAATAATGTTAGCAATAACAGATAAATAAAAATAAAATAAGCCTCAAATTTTCAGGGATGTAACACAAGTTTATTTATTTACTTATTTTTAAAAGATTTTATTTATTTGTCAGAGACAGAGAGCACAAGCAGGGGGAGCCGCAGGCAGAGGGAGAAGCAGGCTCCCTGCTCAGCAGGGAGCCGGATGCGGGGCTCGATCCCAGGACCCTGGGGTCATGACCTGAGCCAAAGGCAGACACTTAACTGACTGAACCACCCAGGCATCCCAAGGATTGATAAAATTTAAAAATCATTTAGCGGAGGTACCTGGCTAGCTCAGTCAGTGGAGCATACAACCCTGATCTCAGAGTCATGTGTTTAAGCCCCACGTTGGGCATAGAGCTTACTAAAAAAACAAAACAAAACAAAAAAATGAAAAATCCAACCAAACAACAACAAAAGCATTTATCAACCCCTGATGAAATAATAAACCTAGGCAATGATCATCTGTGGATGCTAAAACCATCAGATGAAAGGTTGATGCATCCTCTGAAGGGATGCAATAGGGAGTCTCTAGCACCACCTGTGATGTATTTCTGGCAAAAGATTTGTGTTTCATTGTATTCAAGTCTCTAGATTTCATTGCCACTTTACAAGAAATATGGGAGATAGAAAATCATCATCAGAAGAACACATACCATAAGTTTGCAAGCAGCCAAATCCAGAAAGTGGGAAAGTTGAGAGTACAGATGACTCAGTGTCTTTAAAAGATGAGTAGCCTGGGGTAAAAAGGAAGAATAGATAGTCTTTAGAGATAAAAGAAGGCCCAAAGAAATGCATAAGCCAAATGCATTGTGTGGATCTGGCTTGCTTGTTCCTGATTTGAACAAACAACTGCACAAAGACAATTTGAAATTATTGGGATCATTTGAAGAAGGACCAAATATTAAATGACAGTAAGGAATTATTAATTGTGTTAAGTGTGATAATGGTATTTTGGTTTGTTAAAAAAAAAAAGTCCCAGGGCGCCTGTCTGGCTCAGTTGGAAGAGCATGTAGTTCTTTATCTTGGGATTGTGAGTTTGAGTCCCTCATTGGAAGTAGAGATTACTAAAATAAATAAACTTTAAAAAGGGGGGCTTCTTTAAAAAAAGTCCTTGGGGCGCCTGGGTGGCTTAGCTGGTTAAGCATCCAACTCTTGATTTTGCTCGGGTCAGCCTGGGTGTGGAGCTTGCTTAAGATTCTCTCCCTCCCTCTCCCTCTGCCCCTCCCCACCTTAAAAAAAAAGTCCTTATCTGTAAGAGATACACACTAAAGTATTTGCAGGTGAAATGATATAGTTAGAATTTGCTTTAAGTTTTTACAAAAAAAGTGGGTAGCATAGATGAAATGGAACTGTTTTGGCAAAAGGTTACTGTTAAATCTGAGTAGTAAGGATTAAAGTATTGTAGGGGAGGAAAATTAATTTTTCCTCTACCTTTTTTTTTAAATTTTTTTTAAAGATTTTATTTATTTATTTGACAAAGAGACACAGCAAGAGAAGGAACACAAGCAGGGGGAGTGGGAGAGGGAGAAGCAGGCTTCCTGCAGAGCAGGGAGCCTGATGCGGGGCTTGATCCCAGGACCCTGGGACCATGACCTGAGCCGAAGGCAGACGCTTAACAACTGAGCCACCCAGGTGCCCCCTTTCCTCTGCCTTTCTGAGGTCTTGGCTGAGACCCCTGTAATAAAAGATTAAAAACAAAAGATAAACAAGTTTATTAACATGTATACCAGGGAAAATGAATAAACTCAGAGGTGGATTAGAACTCTGGCTTATATCACATCCTCAACAAAGAGCAATACATTTTTGGAGAAATGACTGAACAAAGGCTTCCAAGGACAGCAAACTGTGGGAAGGTAAACTAGTGGTAGATAAAGACTCTTGTTTGTTTTTTTAGTTTCCTCTGGTGCTCTCTCCAGGCTGATAGGGTCTAAAATCGTCTCCCTTGATTAACTTTTGTCATGGTAGAGAGGGTTGGAGGAATACTTTCAAAAATTTATGTCCTGCTTTGGGGCAACTGGGTAGCTCAGTCAGTTAATCTTGTGACTCTTGGTTTTGGCTCAGGTTGTGATCTCAGGGTTGTGAGATCGAGCCGGGTGTGGGGCTCCGAGCCCAGTGCACAGTCTGCTTGAGATTCTCTTCCCCTCCTTCCCCATCTGCCCCTCCCCACACTTGTGCACGTGCTCTCTCTCTCTCTCTCTCTAATAAATAAATAAAATCTAAAAATAAAATATGTCTTGCTTTTAGACAGAGGGAGAGCAAGGAACTTTTTTGGTATCTATTTCTTAATTGCTTTTAGGCTGAAAATTATAATGCAGAATAATCCAAAGTAGCATATTTTGGGGGGCACATTCTGCTACCTTTTAGTATCCTCTCTATTTTTATGTATGTTTGAAATTTTCCATAATAAACGGTTTAAAAACAAGGAACAAACAGAACAACCAGAGGGGCTCTGCTTCATGCCGTTTGTCTGGAACCCAGGTTCATTCGCCTCCCCCTATGGCATTAGGGTCATGTCATCATCAGCCAGCCAGCAGATGAGGACAGGAAGCTGGAACTCGAGGACACGTGCTTGCTTCCTGCCCCGCACAGATGTGGCACATCGCTTCCACTCACATTCCACGCAGGAATGCTAGTCACACAGTGCTACTTGGATGCAAGTAGACTGAGTGTCCAGCTGCAGTATGCGCAGGAGGAAACAAACTGGGTTTGGAGCATACATAGCCAGTCTTTGCCATTGACCCACCGTCTTTAGACACTCTTCCTTTCATTCCTACATTTGGTCTCCTGCTTGACCACAGGTCCTTTTTTTTTTTTTTTCCCTTTTAAGTTCATCTTTCCACGTTTGTTAAATGCCAATTGTAACCCAATTTCATTTGTGAAAATGTGCTGCTTTCTGCTCAGGTGTATTTAGTAAGGTCTGTCATATTCCCTAACCCGCTCTTTATGTGTCTATTGCTAAAGCCAGTCGGTTACTTTTTGTTGGAGACTGATGCTAAAAACCCAGGACCTAAGGTCCATGACTTCTAGCTGTAAATTGTAGTTGATTGGTTCTGTGTGAAATAGTGATTTGGGTTCCTGTATTGTAAACAGAAAGGTCTGGAAGGCCTCAGACCATCTAGACTCTAGTTGCCCCCCCCCCTTACCATGCTTTCTTTCACAGGGTCCTTGTTACGCATTACAGTCTTTACTGTTTGAAATTACCTTGTTTCTTTGTCATGATATTGTTTGTCTCACAGACCTTAGAGCCTAGAAAGTGAGAAAGAACTGGAAGCCCGAGGTACTGAAAACGGCCTTCTAAAGCTCTGAGAGGCCCCCTTCAGCTCTCAAATCCTATTAAAAGTGCATGGATTGGGGCGCCTGGGTGACTCAGTCGTTAAGCGTCTGCCTTCGGCTCAGGTCATGATCCCAGGGTCCTGGGATCGAGCCCCGCATCGGCCTCCCTGCTCCGCGGGAAGCCTGCTTCTCCCTCTCCCACTCCCACTGCTGTGTTCCCTCTCTCACTGTCTCTCTCTCTCTCTGTCAAATAAATAAATAAATCTTAAAAAAAAAGTGCATGGATTATCACTATAAATATCGGAGGGCGAGGAATGATTTAATGTAAACAAAGCCCAAAAAATGGAATAGCCAGATATTGTATTAATGGAATATTACAGAAGGTTCCCTGGAAAACTTTTGTTTATTTAGTTTTGTTTTGAGTTGGTAATATTGTCTTACAGTATTATACAGTACTAGGCTTTATGCAGTTCTTTCATACCCATTATCTCATTTACTGCTCACAGTAACATTTTGAGACAGATACTGTTCCACTGAGGAAAGCAAAGCTCAGAGGTGAAGTGATCTGCCAAAGGGCACCAGCCAGTTTGTAGCAGGGTAGAACCTGACTGGTGTTTTTCCCACCACATCTTCGCCAACTCCAGTTGTTTCTTTACTGGTACCGTTCCCAATTTGGATCTCTGTTGGTTTTTACTCCATATTGGGCTCCCTTACCCACCCAAAGCATCGGTGTTTATGGCATTCCTGTCACTTTGATTCTGTTCCAGAGAGAAGTAGAGATCCTGATGTTCCTCAGTGCCATTGTGATGATGAAGAACCGCAGATCCAGTAAGTGTAGCCTGCTCCTCAGTTACTTGAGCTTAGGCCACATGCCCTCCAGAGCTGCTTTCATTCTTGTTATGAGAGGGGCACTATTTGGCGAATGAGTCCCTTATTCCATGCCAGGGCTGAATTTGATCTTGGACTTCTCTTACCCCTCTCCCATTTCAAAGTACCGCAAGAAGAGTGACAAAACAGGATATGAGAGTATGCCACCCAGCCTGACCTGTGACATCTTTGTGTTTCAGTCACTGTGGAGCAACATATAGGCAACATCTTCATGTTTAGTAAAGTGGCCAATGCAATTCTTTTCTTCCGTCTGGATGTTCGCATGGGCCTGCTTTACATCACACTCTGCATAGGTAAGGAGACTGGTTGTGGGACCCAAATTCCAACCCCAGACAGGTCTCTCCATACCCTTCTTCCATCTCTTGTACTTCATTAATTATGTATGTGGCTCAGGTGATAAGAATCTACAGAAACTTTAAGAAGAAGAGAATGCGTCAGTGGTCTGCATATGTCCACAAAGTGTATTCTTTGGTGCCTAAAATCTTTGACTCAGTTTGAAAGTAAATCCCCTGCTGCAGGCCTTATATGTCTCCTCTGACATCTTTTTTCCGTGTTTAGTGTTCCTGATGACGTGCAAACCTCCCCTGTATATGGGCCCTGAGTACATCAAGTACTTCAATGATAAAACCATTGATGTGAGTTCTCTTCCTCTCTCCTGTTTCTTGGGTCCCTTGTGGGTGATTCTGTAGTTGTGCTTTTTACTCACTAGGAGGAGTAACTGCTTCAGAATGGAAGTCAAGAGCACTGTGGTTCCTTACTGGAGCTAGGGAGACGGGGGAGGGAAAGCCAGGGCGAGGAATTAGATGCTCAAGTCTGAACCTTTCTGGGAGCCTGTGTGATCCAGCTCACTGTTTCTTCCCTGTGTGTGGCAGGAAGAGCTAGAGCGGGACAAGAGGGTCACTTGGATTGTGGAGTTCTTTGCCAATTGGTCTAATGACTGCCAGTCGTTTGCTCCTATCTATGCTGACCTCTCCCTCAAGTGAGTACTGTATAGGGAGGGATGATGGAAGCAGAGGTGCTGTACTTTCCCTCTCATGGTTTTTGGCTTTGATTTCTGCACCTTGTAACCAAAGGTGTTTCTCCCCCGCTCCGCAAATATCTGTATTTCCACTTCCCTTGACCCATTCTCTTTCATTATGTTAAACAATATATTTTTCTTAGGTACAACTGTACAGGGCTAAATTTTGGGAAGGTGGATGTTGGACGCTACAGTGATGTTAGTACACGGTATGTAAGGGCCTGGACAGAGGGTCTGAGCCGTAAATCACTTGGAGTGATGTAGACAGATGCATTTATGGAGTACTTTCTGGGCCCTGTAGGTACAAAGTGAGCACGTCGCCCCTCACCAAGCAGCTCCCTACCCTGATCCTATTCCAAGGTGGCAAGGAGGTCATGCGGCGGCCACAGATTGACAAGAAAGGACGAGCTGTCTCTTGGACCTTCTCTGAGGTATCTGAAAGAGTGAGCGAGTGGTTTGGAGAAGGGTGTAGAACAGTAATGGGCTTTGGAGCCCAGCCTGGGTTTGATTCCTGGCTCTGCCACTTGGCCCACTAGTTTTGAGAGTGTGGACTAGTTACCAGATTTCATTCACGAATTCACTTAGCAAATTTATTGTGCTTCTACCGTGTGCCAGAACTCCTAGTACAGGGGAACAGTTATTAAGATTCAGTCTCAAAGGCCCTTGTCAGTATAGTCTGTAGGCCTGAGGTTCCTTAGCAGCAAATTGAAGAGAGGAACACTTGGATTGCAGGGTGGTTTTGTAGAGGACATTAAATAATGTAGCTGTAATTCTTGGCACAGTGATTGTCACATAATGGGTACTCAACTGTACAGGGTTGACTCTTCCAGGTACCCAAAAAAGGAGAGTTAGGTTAGAGTAGATTTCTGTCCTTTCCTTCCTTCTTTCCTAGACTGTGTCTAAATACTTCTTACTTCCCAGTAAGGACTCTCCAACCAGAACCCTGATGTGCGTATGTACCTCTTTTGTGCAGGAGAATGTGATCCGAGAATTCAATTTGAATGAACTATATCAACGGGCCAAGAAGCTATCAAAGGCTGGAGATAATACCCCTGAGGAGCAGCCTGTGGCCTCAACCCCCACGGAAGTGCCAGATGGGGAAAGCAAGAAGGACAAATAGAATCCCTGCCTTGTCAGTACTTCCTCACCTTTGAGGCGCTGCCCCTCCTGTAACCACAAGCCTTGCCTGAGGCCTGGGCCTTTTATTTATGTTTTCTCCTTCGGCTATCCCTGAGTGGGGCAGGGGGCTGCTTCTGATTTTAAAGAGGCTTCCGGGGAATTGACAGGCATCCTCCAGGACAGCCTCCACTGCTGTGGCCAACTTTCACTGGAAGAAGGGAGAAATCTACCATGGATGAGGAAATGCTTTCCCTCCAAGCTTGGGTCAGTTATCAGTTACTGTCCACCACTCACATGTCTCCACCATGCTGTGTTTTCATCCCTCCTCTTAGTGGACCTACATACAGTCTGCTTAGATTATATTCAACCTAACAGAAGATGCCTCTGTATGGAGTCTGCGCTAGGATTTTTCCCTCAAGGACCCTTGCTTATTTAGGCACTTCTGGCTGGTCTGTGGCCTTCTTTAAAAAGTATAAGGCTAATTTTGCCACTGGTCCCAAGGAGACACCTTTAACCACTGAGTGTACTCATTGAAGATAATATTGAATAATCCCCCTATTTTTTGGAGTTTGGGAGGAAGGGGAATAGGCTTGAGACATTCCTTTGTGTGGTGGGGCCTCCCGGAGAAAGCCGTTGGGCAGGAATGGGGTTTCCACTTACTCTCCTACCTACTCCCAACACCCAGTTGATGGTTTTCCATAATAAAGAAACTGGGATTTCCTTTTGTTTGCGCCTTTGTGTGTTCCTCGCCCATTAGAAAAGCCTGGCCATTGCGGAGGAAGTGCCATCTCCTCAACTTCAAAGGCCATCCTGATGAGTTTCTCCAGCTGCCCGGCATTGGTCCCCAGGATCAGGGAGAGTCAGGGAATGCTAGTTACCGTAATCCCGGAGTACTGACCTCGCCGAGTTAGGTTGCGGCTTTGCTTTGGGATTGGCCCGAGGTTTCCAGGGAGCAGGTGTGTCGGCGGGGGTGGGGTTTGTGTGTCGTGGTCCACGCTATTTAGCCCGACGGAGGCTTGCAGAAACGCCTGTGTGAAGCCAGGCTTGTTTCGGAGCTGCCTAGTCCGCGCCCCTCCACAAGCGCGGGTGGTTCGGTCTGGGGCTCCCTGTCGCTCCCCCCCGCCGCGGGCAGAATGGTTGTGCCCAGGGAGCCCGCCTCCAGACCACGTGTGCTCTCGGCCACGTTTGGCGCAGCTAGGGAGACGCTTTGTCCCGGCGACGGGCTTCCTGGCCTGTGGTTTGGAGCTCGGAGCGGCGTTGGCCGGACCCCTATTCGCGCCCAGCTCGGCTCGGCTCCCTGCCGGGCTCCAGGCCCATGGCTTCTCGCGGGAGAAAGCGGAAGGCCGAGGTGGCGGTGGTCGCGGCGGCGGCGAAACAGGAGAAGCCGGCGGGCGGCCGGAAGGCAGTGGAGGCCGCGACCGTCGTAATCGAGCATTGGTGAGGGGTCTAGAGGAACCCGGGGAGGCGGCCAGGGCGTCGCAGGCCAAGGCCCCAGCCTCTGACCTTTCCCATCTCTCTCTAGCACGAGCTGACGCGTCTACGGGCGCAACGCCGCGGCCCTGAGCCAGGCGTTGCGCCTGGAGACCCCGGAGCTTCCGGTGGAGGTGAATCCTGCCAAGCCCCGGAGGGGCAGCTTCGAGGTGACGCTGCTGCGCCCAGACGGCAGCAGTGAGTGGCGGCCCGGGAGCAGGCGGGAGGCGCTGGTTTCAGCCCGCGGCCACCTCGGCATTTGGGGGACCTGCTGGTGTATTCCAAAGTGACCTTGCTTCCTCGGTCATTTCCCAGGTGTGGAGCTCTGGACTGGGATTAAGAAGGGGCCCCCACGCAAACTCAAGTTCCCTGAGCCTCAAGAGGTGGTGAAGGAGCTGAAGAAGCACCTTTCCTAGGGTGTGTTGGGCAGAAGTCCTCACGCTGAGGTATGAGGGGGGGCAGGGGTGGATTTGGGGTATTTGCGAAGCAGCCCTCACAGTCCTCTCATTTCACACATGGTCTACAACTTGTAACTCTTTTCTTGCTCAGGATTTCCCCTTTCTGCTGGTAGGAAAAATAGAAATCGGCAGTAAAATTGTTTCCTCTTATAGTGCCTTTTGCTAACTGCATGTTTCACTCTCTGGGCTAAGTTGTAGGCTGCTGATGGTAATGTGAATGGCCTTTTATAGAAATGCAAGTTGTGCCCTTTGAAGATGCGGTTATTGCCCTGGCGCCGGGGGGGGGGGGGGGGGGGGACCCTTTTTGTATTTGTTAGAAATTTATTTTGCACACCTGATGGCACTTGTTTCTTAAAGCTGGTGGTGTAAACCCCCCCCCCGGTTTCCTCTTTTGTGAGTTAAAATCGTTGACACTTGTTTTTATTTTTCCCATTAATGGCACAATTTTTGTGTAATCTCACATGTGCTTACCCCTACCCTACCTTTTTATGTTTTTTTGTTCCTAGTATGTTTTTGTTAATCCCATGTGAAAACTACAGTAGTGTCACTCGTGGCCGATTTGACTGGTCTTTATCGGTAGTACTTGGACATGTTGTCAGGCACTTGATTTGCTGAGTAAAATGTAGGGGAGGATGCAATCCTTGAACTCCCCCTGGGTTTGTGGGTTCTAGGGTGGGGGACACAGCTTCCTCAGGCTTTAGGATTGCCTGGGCCCCTTCTCTAACCTTTTTTTCACCTGTCATGTTTACAGCCTCCTGTCCCTGGTGATGTTGGAGCATTTATGATGGAACATGGCCAAACTTCAGTCATGTACCTGAAGCCATTGTTTCTTCCCCTCCAGAAAGGATGGTTCAGTTGTGAGGCAACCCTCTCGTAAGGCATTGAAAAGTTCTTGGATTTGGTTTAATAAAAGTTGAAATAAAGTATTTGAATAATAAAGTAAAACAATCTTATGGTAAGAAATGGACAAAACCAGCCTTTTGTGGGATTGGCTCCCCTTGTATTTTTCATATTCTGAGGTCACAAATTAACCTGGAGCTCCTAGGTTCTCTGGTAGATCATGTGAAATACTTGCAAAAACTGTGGGGGGAAAAAAAGTAAATTATTTTTTTAAAAAAAGCATCTATCTTTTTCAACTCACTTCTTGGAAATGATGGAAGTTATGTCTTTTTGGTCTCTGCAGAGGTTTGGCTAGACCTCCCATGCTGGATTGAATAAGCCACACACATTAGGTTTGGGAAAATGTCCTGTTACTCGTACCCACTTGTTCCACCCCAGCACCCTTTCACACCTTCTGGAACATTTTCTCTTTCACAGAGGGTATTCTTTCTCATTTATCATTGAATTAGCAGTGACTAGATGCCTCCTAACTTAGGAGACCTGGTGTTCGTTGTTATTTATGACCCAGTAGAGCTGGGGACCACACAGTTTACAGTTTCACTTATCACTAACTGGAAAATATACTACAAAGAAATAAGATGGTTCAAGTGCATAATTTTATACCCATGGTACTACTTTTGCCTGGCTCCCAAAGCCTAGGGAGGAGAGGAAGGGACCTAAAGAGAACTAGGAGTACACCTGCCTTTTGTGCTAAGAGGACAGGGCACGTGCTAGCCTCTGCCAGTAAACCTTTTGCTAGCCAACATTTCCCACCCTCCCGCTGCCCCTAACCTGTACTTCCTGTTCTACGTCAGTATGTCCACCTCTGTGTCTGACTCTGAGGAAGGGTCGGGCCACACAGAGGGAATACCTGTGGGCACCAGCCTCCCCTCTGATGTCCAGTCCACCACATCAATCTCTTCCTCTTCGGAGCTGGCAGGAAGTGGGTCCGACAACTCAGAGTTGCCAAGTACCTCCTTGCCTGGCTCTGGAGCAGGATACAATACCTCATCCATATTTAGGGACACTTCTGGCCTAGTCTCCATACAGTTTGAACAGGGAGGTGAGAGGTCCTCATAGGACCTGTGGGGAAGGTCAAGAGAGTCAGTATGAAGCTTATCTCTCTGACCATCCAGTGGTTGGGAACTGGTAATTTCTAGATCTGGAGTCCAAGAGCGTCCTACTGAAAGTACCTCCCCTTCACTCACCTCAGAGGGTATGACAAGGGGGCTAAGGGACTCAGTTGGCTCTTTGTTCTCAGAGGACATAAGGAGGCTAAAGGGCTCAATTGGTTCTTTGTCCTCACCAACAGGTTCCTTTTCCAGTCCCGTGAGCTCCCTGGGCCAGAGTTCCATGTCTGGCAAACACCATTCCTCCCCTTCGATCCAGTTCTTTCCTGTTTCTGTCAGGTGATAGCTAGGGGTCCTGCAGCCCTGGGCTCCAGGACTTTCCAGAGACCCCATGGGGGGCTCAGTGTCTGAGCCACACAGCATGAAGTCCAGGATCTCCTCCAGCTCACTGGTGGCAGCGGCACTTGTGATGCGGTACTCCTCGGCTTCGCAGGGCTGCCCCAGCAGGGCTGTGTCAAATGCATAGGGTTCTCTGCAGTCAATATCCAACCCAGGTTCCTTCCCTACCAGTTCTGGACTGGACCCGAACTCAGACTTCACCACTGGGTGGTCTGGGGAGTGGCTAGCAGAGAGCAGAATGTCTTGTAGCCTAGAACACACTGGGGAGTCCTGACACAGGTCTACTGGAGCAGATGACTGTTCCTGCTCATTAAGTGAGGATGGCTGAGTACTCGCAGGCTCTTCTGAGTATTGAGGTTCTGGGATCTGAGGGCTATCTTGAGAGTTTTTGAGGGGGGGCTCTTGTACCACCTCCCAGCACGTCCCATTGACAATCTTCCGAAGTTTCACTCTTCCAACCTGCCCCTCTTCTGCAGAGTCTGAGTTCGGTGCCCTGACTTCAGGGCTCCGCTTCTTGCTCCCACCTGTCTTTCCAAGGCCAGATGGGCTTGGGATGCTCTGTAGAGGACTAGCTCCTCCTGGTTTCTCCTTGTCCTCTGGTACTTTATTGATACTCTTCTGCCGCCAAAGGCGCCGGCCAGGGGCTGTGGGTACTGAGCTAGGTCCGCTTACCATGCTGGACGGCTTGGATGTACAGGTATCAGGAGATGGCTTTGAGCGACTCAGTCTGATCTTTCTGGGCAATAGCCGCTCATCCACAGAGGGATACATACCGGGTGGGGAAAGTGCTGTAGGAGCAAGGGCAGGGTCACTCTTGTTCTCTCTTGGTCCCTGACTGTGGCTTGATGGTGAAGAGCTTTTTTCTTGTGAAGTTGGGCAAGCTCTGGCCTTCTTCTTTAGCAGACTGCCAGACAAATTCTCTGCATTCTGTCGGTTGTTTTTCTCCAAGGGCCCCTCCTCCTTCCCCGAGGACTTCAATCTTACTGGCCGAAGAGGACAAGGAGTCTGGGTTGCAGGCAGTGGAGTCCGAGGGCGGCGGCTAGATGCCACCACCCTGGCAGAGATTGGTGCAGCACTTGGAGGGTGTAAGCACTCCCGGTTCAGTCTTCGGCTCTGGGGGGCCTTCACCAACTTCCCACCCTCTAGCTGAAGGGATTCTAGCTCAGATACACGGAGCTGACGGGCAGCAGAAAGCACATCCTGGGCTTCTTCTCGAGATACTTCCATCTCTGAGGTATACAAGAAGTCTACCAGCTTCCTGAGTGTCCTGATCTTCAAGCCTCCCAGCTCCAGCACCACTTTCCGACCCTGAGCTGGCCTCTCCCGCTCCAGGCGCTCCGTGAAGAAGGGGCTGCAGGCTGACAGGATGCAGCAATGAGCTGGGACTGCCTCACCTGGAAGGAAATCCACTTTGTTATCTCATGCAAACTGGCATGTTCATGGGCTAAGCAGGGTCTTTACTACCCAAATGTGCTGCCCTTTCTCTGTTTTCCTCCATGGGAGTTCAAATAGAAATTTGTTCCTTCTGTCTGCCTGGAACCTTCTGTCATTACCCAGCTAACTCCATTTTATCCTTCAAAACCTAGTTTAGGGGCCCTGGATGGCTCAGTTGGTTGACTGTCTGCCTTCGGCTCAGGTCATGATCTCAGAGTTCTGGGATCAAGCAACGCGCCAGGCTCCCTACTTAGAGGGGAGTCTGCTCCCTCTCTGCCCCTCCCCCCACCGCTCCTGCTCTTTCTCTCTCTCAAATAAATAAATAAAATCTTAAAAACAAACCCTGAAAATCTAGTTTGGACGTTACATCTTTCAGAAAGCTTTTCCCCAAACCACCTCAAGTCTAGGTTAGGTGCTTTAGGTGCTTCTGGGCACAGAGAGGTACTCTAGCTATCAGAGCACTTAGCTATCCATATTGTAAGTGTCACCTCTTTCACTGAAGTGAAGCTCTATGAGGACAAAGACTGTATCTGTCTTGCTCTCTGAGGTAAACCCACTGCTTGACACACAGGAGGGGATCAAATTTTTTTTGGACTCACATGAGAGTTTAAAAAATTTTATAGAAGCTGTTTATAATAGAATGTGAGCTTTGGATATAGACAATCAGGGTTCAATTCTCCCCTGACCCTCTTAGGCACTGCCTACCAGGCAGTCGTCTGTCCTCAGCCACCTTCTTTATGGGCACTTCCTTGGCAATCTCAGTCTGGCTTCAACTTCCAAAGGCTTGCTGCTGACTCCCAGGTCCTACTTCTGCCCAGATACCTTTTTCCTGAGACACTAAACATGCCAGAGCCTGCATCAACCTTTCTAGAAAGTTAACTCCATTCCCTAACCCCAAAACCTCCCATTTCTTACTTAAAAATAAGTATCCACTTTATCCAGTTACCCAAGCCTGGAAACTACAAGTCATCTTTGATTGTTCTCCTTTACCCACTGTGTCTAATCAAACATTAATTTTTATTTATTTTTAATCTTACTTTAAAGTAACCTCTAGGGCGCCTGGGTGGCTCAGTTGGTTGGGCGACTCCCTTCGGCTCAGGTCATGATCCTGGAGTCCCTGGATCGAGTCCCACATCGGGCTCCCTGCTCAACGGGGCGTCTGCTTCTCCCTCTGACCCTCTTCCCTCTCGTGCTCTCTATCTCTCATTCTCTCTCTTTCAAATAAATAAATAAAATCTTTAAAATAAATAAATAAATAAATAAAGTAACCTCTACACCCAACATGGGGATTGAACTCAAAACCCTGAGATCGGGTGCCTGGGTGGCTCAGTTGGTTAAGCGACTGCCTTTGGCTCAGGTCATGATCCTGGAGTCCCAGGATCGAGTCCCGCATTGGGCTCCCTGCTCAGCAGGGAGTCTGCTTCTCCCTCTGACCCAACCCCCTCTCATGCTCTCTCTCTACCATTCTCTCTCTCTCAATAAATAAATAAAAATCTTAAAAAAAAAAAAAAAAAACCCTGAGATCAACAGTAGCAAGCTCCACTGAATGAGCCAGCTAGGCGCCCCTCAAACATTAATCTTTAAAAAAAACAAACTATTTCTCGTGTCCTTATTGCATGCCATGTAATGTACTAAGTAAGGGTTTTACCAGTATTCATTCATTTACTGTTCACTGCAATTCTGTGAAGTAGCTGTTATTACGGATGAGTAAACCGTGGCATAGCTAAGTAACATACCCATCACAATTACACAGTTAGCAAGTCACAGGGAGGGGATGTGAACCCAGGGAGTTTGGTTACAGAGCCTATGCCCTTAACTGCCCCAAGTTTTGTAAATGCTTTTTGTTTATAAACCATACATTTTTCTCTATTCTCAATGCCTTAGTTTTAGGCCACCATTCCCTCTCTGGATTCCAAAATGGCCTCCTATCTGGACTGAACAACAATCCATTAATTCTTCTCATGCAGCCCAAGTGCTATTTCTAAAGTAGACATCTGATCATGACCACCTTCTTAATACCTTTAAATACATTTCCCAGGGCGCCTAGGTGGTTCAGTCGGTTGAGTGTCTGAGTCTTGGTTTCATTTTGGGTCATGATCTCAGGGTAATGGAATTGAGCCCTGCATCAGGCTCCACACTCAGCAGGGAGTCTGCTTAAGATTCTCTCTCTCCCTCTTCCTCAGCTCCTCCCTGCTTGCACGCACAGTCTCTAAAATACATAAATAAATTTTTCAAAAAAATACATTTCCCAATGTTCTCAGGATAAGACCTACTTCCTTTGCATAACACTTCAGAACTTACACACTGCTGCTAATTTCTCTAGCCATATCTCTCATCAATACACTTCTTGGAGTCTGCCCTCTAGCCATAGTGAACCACTCACAAATCCTTGGTCATATCTAAATCTCTGTACATGCTGTTCTCTCTGCCTGGGAAAATCTTTCCCCACTTCCTCCTACTCCTGTTTGTCCTCCAGATCTCCACTAAGAGGTTATTTTTTCCAAGAAAATCACCCTAACCCCTGTCCCCCAACCTCTTCACGTCTGGGAAGGTGCCCCTCTCTTGTGCTCCTGTATCAGCCTTTACTTACTCCAATGTTGTTATATTGCTCAGTTACTCGGATCCACTGGTTATCTCAGGGTTTCTCTCCCCTTTTCATGATTTCTGTACAAGGAGGGATTTTATCTTCATATGTACTGTATGCCCATGCTAGAGTACACTGTTCTAACAAACAACAGGCAATTGATTTTTTTTTATTTTGAATTAATGAATGAATCCCAACTCTACTTACTAAGAGCACGAACAGGCAAGTCACCTAACTCCCAAAGCCTCAATTAACTCATCTGTAGAACTGGAATCATATAACATTATCTCACAAGGCTGTTGTAAGAATCAAATGAGACGCTAGATGATACTGTATGTACTCTTCAAAGTATAGAGTGCTACACGATAATGGTTGTCATAATCCTTTTTTAAAAATGAAGAAACTGAGCTCCAGAGAGATGAAGTGGGACTTGCCCATTTGTCACTCAGCTTCTAAGTAACAAAGCTAAGACTCTGACTCCTAGTTTTGGGCTTTTTATAGGAGACCAGGCTCAGGTGGTTAGGGGTCCAACTCTTGATCTCAGCTCAGGTCTTGATCTCAGGGTCATGAGTTCAAGTCCTTCACTGGGCTCCACACTGGGCATGGAGCCTACTTAAAAAAACCAACAAAAATACATGATACCAGGCTCTACTTCATACTGACTGAACATTCCAAGTGTAAAGGAAAGGGGTGGAAATAAACGATATATTTTTAGATCTAACAACAAACAACAAAAACCATCAATTTGAAGATGAGAAAAATTAATCAATAGCTTGGCAAGAAAATGGGAAAATATGTAATAGTATTGTCTAACACTTATATTATGCTTAGTATATTAAAAGCGTTGTGCTAAGTGCCGTGTGTATGTTAACTCCATCTTCACAATCATTACATTATTATCCACCTTTTACAGAATTTCTATGCTTACTAAACTTTACATTACTTTTTTTTTTTTTTAGAGATTTTATTTATTTGACTTTGACAGAGAAAGACACAGCGAGAGAGGGAACATAAGCAGGGGGAGTGGGAGAGGGAGAAGCAGGCTCCTGGCTGAGCAGGGAATCCGATGCGGGGCTCGATCCCAGGACCCTGGGATCATGACCCGAGCTGAAGGGAGACGCTTAATGACTGAGCCACCCAGGCGCCCCCATTACTTTCAATTTTTAATAAGATTTTATTTATACACTTGAGAGAGAGAAAGAACCAACCAGCGGGGGCAGGGGGTGGGGGGTGGGGGTGGAGTGAGAAACAGACTCCCCGCTGAGCAGGGAGCCAGACATAGGGATCCTTCCCAGGACCCGGAGATCATGACCTGAGCCAAAGACAGATGCCTAGCCAACTGAGCCACCCAGGCACCCTCCTACTTATATTTACTTTTAAAGATTTTATTTATTTATTTGACAGAGACACAGCAAGAAAGGGAACACAAGCAGGGGGAGTGGGCGAGGGAGAAGCAGGCTTCCGCGGAGCAGGGAGCCGGATGCAAGGCTTGATCCTAGGGCCCTGAGATCATGACCTGAGCTGAAGGCAGAAGCTTAATGACTGAGCCACCCAAGCACCGCCCCCCCCCACTTACATTTTTTAAGAGAAAAAGAGTACAGTGTCATTTTCACTCTTGGAAACAGTAACAGAAACAAACAGCTCTTTACCAAGTAACTTATAGTGCTCAAGGGCAATAATACATTTTCTTGGTTTTGTGCTCTACTCCCTGGCCCTGAACTCATTTTATCTTATTCTACAGTGAGTATTCTATAGTGACTTTTCAATTAAGTCCCCACTAGTGTCTTACCTTCTGCCTGCAGAAGGACATCACAGAATACACCAGTCTGTTGCTGGTGATGAAGCTGCAGAAAAGCTAACCGGAGAAACCGGGGATTCCTGTATAGGATTTTGGAACTGGCGGGAGAACACATGTTGGTCTCTTAACAAACCTTCCAGGTTTTCACAGATCAGATTCCTGTGGATGAGAAAGTATATTTCAGAAGAATGGCTGTACCTAACATCATAAGCCCAGAAATTGTGCCAAGGGTCTCTCAAGAAATATCATAGTGGTTACGTGTGGGAGCTTAGAAGCAAGTGTAGATTTGAATCTCAGTTCTGTTATTTATTAGCTTAGCTGTATAATTTCAGGCAAATGACCTAACTTTTCTGAGTCTCACTTTTCTCATCTATGAAATGGTAATGATAACAGTACTTACCTGGTAGGGCTGTTTTAAAGATTAAATGAGTCAATGCAGGTAAAATTGCTTAGCACTGTGAGTGCCTGACACATAATAACTATCACTTCTAAAATGGTAGCTATTGTTGTTATCCTTAAACCTTCTTCATTCACATTGCCAGAGACTCAGTGCCTACAGTGCTGACAACTCATATTCTTCCTGAGCAACACACTTCTGAGTTCCATATTTAACTTTTAAAGAAACAACACTGAATGGAAAATTCTCTAGGAAGTTGTACACACCTTTTCTTTGAGCTCACTCTATCACACTAACCAGCAGAGGGTGCACAGTAAAGAAAAGCAGGTGCTGGACTTGGTGGGAAAATCTCTCACAGAAATAAGGACGCTGCCACCCTTGCTTCAGATGTTCTTGACCAAAGCGAGCCTAATGCAGCCTGGAAATTGGCAAAAAATCTGGCCTTTAGGTTTGTCAGTCTGGTTAATCGCCTGGCTAACAACAGAGCAGGGATAATTAAGCATTCTACCCTTCCTGATACAAGCTGGACATTCTGAATTCAGGCTTACTCCATTTCCAGCTTTTTGCACTGAAACCCCCACACTCACTGCACAGCTGGTGTTCCTTTCCTGGCATGCAGTTTTCTGTCAGGCGGCACTGAGGATCTGAACAGTTCCCGTCAAACTATCAGGAAAGAAAAGAGTGGAAAGGTTAATTAAGAAGGGGTAGGCTCAATTCCAATTTCAGCCAGAGAGATGGGGGCGGAGGATGGCTGCTCTTGCACGGTCCCAAACAGAGGCTCTGGGGAAGCTTCCCAACCCACCAGGACCCGGCCTTGTCCCCAGACCCAACCTGGAAGAGCTCTGCAGTCGGAGTTGCGCTTGCCGACCTCTTTGTGCTTGGGTCCTCTGTCCAGCCTGCTCTGCTTCCTCCCCAAGTCCAGCCTCAGGCGGGAAGGTTTAGCAAAGCAGCTCAGGTGGGCCAATGGCCTGAGGGTTCCTCTCCCCGTCCGGAACCGAGGAATCGGGGTTGGCGGAGAAAGCTGGGCGTCAGGGAAGGCCCTGCAATGCTGGGCGTCCCGCACGCTCTGGGAGCCCCGGCCCAACTCCTTTGAAGAGAGACCTCTCGACGCGAAGCTTTCTGGGAATGGAGCGTGGGGTTCCTGGAGGCCCGAATTCAGGGCGCACCGTCAGCACCGCGCCCGGCCGCACGGGCTTTGCAGCCACCCCCTGTTACCCTCTTACCTCCGCGGGCCCCGCCACCCTCCTGCACGGGGACGTGGTGACAGCGAGGGCCTGAGGCCACGCGACCCGCGCCGCACACCTCACGCCACCGTCCTCGCGCACGGCGCGTCGCGGGGCCCGACGTCCTTCCTCCTCCCCCAGCCCTCGGCCTGACGTCTGCCTGAATACGTCATCCCCATTGGCCGAAGGCTCCTCGGACGGCCAATCACAGGGACAGGAGCACTTTGGGCGGGAGGCTAAGTCTCGAGGGACTTGAGGGCTAAGCCAAGATGGTCGGGCTGTGAGAGGTAGGCGGGGGAGCCTGCTCGGGCGGGATCCGGATGGAGGCCGTCTTTTTCGTCGGCAGTGGACGAAATCACAGTGACAAGAGAGTCAGGATGCCCCAGTAGGGCAGGCTCCAAGGCGGTTGCAGGACACCTCTGTCTTCCCCGTTGAAGAGGCTGTCAGTAAATGGCCCTGGGCCTGTGAGAGCGCCTCAGGCTTCCTGGAGGAGAAAGCCCGTGGTTGGCTCTCCTCACACCTTGACCAGGTCTGTCTACGCTCGATAGATCCTTAGTCCAGGGATGTTCGGGAAGAGGTCTTTAGGCTAGTGTCTGAATTCAGGCTTTTCACAGATTCCACTCCACCCTAAATCTCGGAGAACTGGTGCGACCAAGGGGGTTGCAGAGCTTCCCGCGTGGAGTGGCCTCCGGTGTCCTTCCAGAGGTGATTTATTTCGCGCACGTGACTGGAAACAGCTGTTTTCAGGGGTGATATAAAAAGGTTAAATGATTTCACGATTAAACGTTTAGAGAGAATGCCAACCCACGTTATAAATATGGATAGCGGTTCTTACGCGCGCGCGCGCGTGTGTGTGTGTGTGTGTGTGTGTGTGTTAGGATCTGGGGCCTGGTTTCGGTCCGATGCCCTGCGACGTCCAGCGCTAGACGAAGATGGCTGAATGCGAAGCCATTGGTGACGGAGTGTGGTGAGTTAAAACGGATCAACTTCCCCTGAGGCCAGCTGGAGGCAGAACGGGAAGATGCCTGAGAGAAGGGGACCCTGCAAAGGAACAGACGAGAGTGTCGAGAGGTGAGTAGTACGTGCGCTCAAATACGCCTTTGTTGATATCTAACACCTTTTCAAAAAGGATTTGAGGAGTATGTCAATTATACTATAATTAAATATTTTTAAAGGATTTGGGAAGGTTGAGTGAAATATAGGGGGGTGGGGTGCATTTCCAAGTCAGGTAATATTTTCCTAGTTTGGGGCCTGCTCTCAAGGTGGAAAAAAGATCACGGAACAGAACACATTTTTGGCTGCAGTTGTGTTTTGAAGATGAAGCAACTCGCGAAGGGACATAAAACTTAGCAGAAAGAGGACACACACAAGCAAGTAAGAAAGAAAAAAAAAGGACAAGACAGAACTATGTTTGTTTATGGCATCTTACTGTGGAATCAAGACTTGAGTGGGCAGGTGAAATACCAGTAGAGGTGATTCTGTGGACTTGTAAGAAAAATAGAATTATTATATCCTCTCATGAATTTATTGTTACTACGATTAGATTAATTTTCAGGAAATAGGACTCACATCTTGGTTTCTTTCTTTCTTCCTTTCTTTTTTTAATCCAACACCATTTAGATAAATCTTATGATAGTGGAGTTTCTAAAGGGAATGATAAACGGCCATCCTACCCAGGGCTTTAAAAGTGACAAACATTCGATGGTAATGTGTAGCCACCAGAGGGTAGAAACGAGTAAAAATAGTTTGTCTTCCTTTGTATGGATAGCCAGTGCTTTTTGTTGATTTTTTTTTTCGTTTCTTCTCCTTGGCATTTATGGTTTTAGCTATTTTAGAAGTAGAGATCGCACAGCACTCAGCCCTACATAATAATTTTAATATTTAAAAAATTTTTAAATTTATTTATTTTTAATATTTCCATTTTGAACACAAAATTATTTCCCAGCTCTTTCCTAATCTTTTACCATTTTATGGAATCTTGTTTTTCTTTGTGTGTTAAGTGGTGATGGCTGTGGTGGGATGGGGGGGTGGATTACACTTTGAGAGTTGTAAAACCGAACACTGAATGTAATATTCCATGCGTTAAAAACAAAACAAAATGAAAGAAAGAAAACAAAGGAAAGAAAAAAAACCCCGAAATAAAAAACAACCATGTATCTCTAAACATATCCTCAACTCATTGACTCCTCTCCATTTTTACTGCTACCATTGTGGTCAACTCCGTATTACTGCAGCTTGACCTTCGAATTAATTTCCTTGCTTTCACCCTTGCCCCTCTTTACTCCATTTGTCACATAAGCAGGCAGATCTTTTCAAAATCTGAGTTAGATCATGTTATTCTGCTGTTGAAAATGCTCACAGGCTTCCCTCTATCTGAGAATAAAGTAATCAAAACTTTCTCTAACCTGTAGAATCCTTCATATTTCTATCACTCCCTCCTCATTTCGACACTCTGCTGGATCCAGCAGGTTTCAGCCTCACGCTTGGGGGCTTTGGCATTAGTAGTTACCATTGCTCACTCTGAAAAACAAACTGAGGGTTCTAGAGGGGAGGGGGTTGGGGGATGGGTTAGCCTGGTGATGGGTATTAAAGAGGGCACATTCTGTGTGGAGCACTGGGTGTTATGCACAAACAATGAATCATGGAACACTGCATCAAAAACTAATGATGTAATGTATGGTGGTTAACAATAAAAAAATTATTAAAAAAAAAAAGTAGTTACCATTGCTCATATGTTCTCATGGTTGGCTGCTTCTTCCCATTCAGATTTCAACTTAAATGTGAAACTCTCTGGAGAGTTTGTCCTTGACATCCAGTGTAGCACAGTCACAAGTCACAAGTCACAAGTCATTCTCATCAGTCTGTTTTAAATTTCTGCTTAGTGTTCCATCTGACATTTATTAATCTTCTCTCTCCCTCCACTAGAATGTAAGCTTTCTGAGAGCAGGGAACTTGTCTACTCATTATCTGAAGAGTACCTGGCTCATAGTAGGTGCTCAAAATAACCCAAGTGGAACTTGTCTTTTTACTTTGGGTCACCTGAGTCCACTCAGGTGTAAAAAACAGTTTTTCCCACTGAGTATTAATCCTTGTGATGCTTTATTTGAAGACAGCTGTTTCAGATAGGTTTAACAAGTTTTTCACCACTGAGTTATCTTTTTTTTTTTTAAATAGGCTCTACACCCAATGTGGGGCTTGAACTCACAACCCCGAGATTAAGAGTCACATGCTTTACCAACTGAGCCAGCCAGGCGCCCCCTGAGTTATCTTTTTTGATTTGTATATAACTTTATTTCAAATGTTATCTACAAATTCATTAATTTAAAATGACTTACCCAGGATTACATAACTGGTAAGCCAAGAGACTTCATTTACTCATCCATCTGTTGCTAAATGTGAGACATTAGGCTGAGCTCTGGGGATACACCAAGAACTAGAAAGACACCATTCATGTCTTCATAGAGCTTATCTTCTGGTGAGGGAGACAGGAAAGCA